AGACGTATAGTGGTCAGTAAGTACACAGGGATACTAAGCACCTCTAGAATCAGGATAGGTAGATTACATACAATAGATGAGGTAGAATTTCACATTCATTCAATCGCCATAAGATTTTTGAGTGCGACATTGTGGGAAAATCAGAACTCACATCTGCTGCTTGTGATTAAATTGGTACAACTGCTTTGTAATATATCAAAGGCATTAAACAAAGTTAATGACACACATACCCTAGAATGATACACATTCCACGAGAGCAGGGGCGACACAAACAAGGAAGTTTGTAACAACAAAGAAATTGATCATGTCCATCAATAAAATGGCTAACTGTACTGTGATATAGGAATACAGAGACTTGAAGGAAAAACCAGAGACCTAGCTCTGGTTCCTTTTCAGCTTCTAACTGACGATGGGACTTTTGCTTCTGCGTAGAATGCTCTCCCCAGGATATTCTTGGGCTCATTCCCTTACCCACTTCAGGTCAGTGCGCAAATTCCACCTGCTCAGAGAGACTCCCCGACCCAGCTTCCACACCCCTTAACACTGTATTGTTAAGCAGGGCAATTTAAAGGATAAGAATATAGACTGTGGCCAGACTGGGTTCAAATTATAGTTTTACCAAGTAATATCTGTATGACTGTAGGCAAGTTATTTAAATTTTCTATGACTCAGTTTCCTCCTCTGTAAAATGGGGATAATAACAGTTTTCACCTAGAAGGGCTGTTGTGAGGACTGAATGAGTTAATATGCCAGAGGTAGAACAGTGCCTGATATAAAGGAAGTGCTAAGTTAAGAGTAATTTGTATGGCTGTTAAAATGAATGAATGAACTAGACTGGAGTGACATTGACAAGTCTCATAACATGCTGCTGAGTGGACAGAGTGAGTTCCACACATACCTCACCCCTCCCTGGACTTCTGCCATAATTACAAGCAGCCTCCCACAGCCTAGTCCTTGATTATACTGCTCGATGTCCTTTTCACAGGTTTTAGTCCCCACCACTGCTGTCCATGACCATCACAGCCTGGCCAAGGCGGTTTGCAGTAGTATTCATCAAACTGAATGAGGATGAGTTAAATTAGTTCTGAAAAGTCCTCCCTCCCTCCCTCCATCCCTCCCTCCCTTCCCTCCCCTCCCTCCCTCCCTCTCTCCCTCCCTTCTTCCTTCCTTCCTTTCTTGTTTCATTCCTTCCTTCTTTCTCTCTTTCTTTCTCTCTCTTTCTCTTTCTCTCTTCTCTTTCTTTCTTTCTTGTTGAATTGGGGCCTCCCTATATTGCCCAGACTTGTCTTGAACTCCTGGACTCACACAGTCTTCCTGCCTTGGCCTCTCAAAGTGCTAGGATCACAGTCATGAGCCACTGTTCCAGATGCTGTAATTTAAGATGACATAAAGAGAGAAGAGTGAGGGTAGTGGAGCAGATGAGCAGTGAAAGTGCCTGGACAGGGACAGAAAATCCCTGTGCCAGGTGTTTCCAGGGCAGGAATTCTGTGACTCCAGGACAGAGTCGGGAGTGTCACCCCAGCCCCATTCCAAAGGCCTGGGACCCACCGGGGAGGAGCCATTAACGACTATATTCACAGAAGACTGTGCATTAAAAAGATCTGGAAAGATCCATGCCAAGCCCTTAGCACTGGCTACAGGAGGGAGGGTGGGATTAGGGGCCGCCAGGCGAATGGAGGCTCTTTCTACTCTTTGTTTTTTTTGAGACAGAGTCTGGCTTTGTCACCCAGGCTGGAGTGTAGTGGCGCTATTTCTCTGCAACCTCTGTCTCTGGGGTTCAAGCAATCTCTCGCCTCAGCCTCCCAAGTAGCTGGGACTGTAAGTGTGCACCACCACGCCTAACTAATTTTTGTATTTTTTTTTTTTTTTTTTTTTTTTAAGTAGAGAAGGGTTTTCACCCTTTGGCCAGGCTGGTCTTGAACTCCCAAAGTGCTGGGATTACAGACATAAGCCACCACAAATGGCCTCTCTCTACTCTTGTACTTTTACTCTGGACACTTTTGCATTGTTTGAATTTTGTCCAGTGAGAAAAACATGTTTATTACTTGTGAGATATTAAAAAGAAAAAATTACACATTAGAGGCACTCAGTGAATGGGCATTACTATTATTCTTTAAAACAAAGGCTTTCCACCCAGCATAGAGGTCCCCAGACAGGAAGGCACCCTGCTTGGGCTAGGAGGAGGCTCCTGTCTGCAGCCTCTTCTTCACAGAGTCCAGCTGGCCCTTCGGCAAGTCTCACTGGCTCCACTTTCAAAGCACATCCTGAATCCAATCTCTTCCCTCATCTAGTTTCTACCTTGTTCCTTCCAACACACTCTGCCTATTGGTCAGAGATCTTAAGAACCCTAATCAGATGGTTGCCATATTCTGAACACTGGCCATGTGCCAGGTACTGTTCTAAGCAGCTATTCATTTTAGCTCAGTTAATCCTATAACCAGGGGTTCCCAAACCCCAGGCCGTGGCCCAGGGTCTGTGGCCTGTTAGGAACCAGGCCACACAGCAGGAGGAAAGCAGCAGGTGAAGCTTCATCTGTATTTAAGCATCTGTAGATGCCATCTGTATGCTCACATTACCGCCTGAGCTCCGCCTCCTGTGGAATCAGTGGCGGCATTAGATTCTCACAGGAGCCGGAACCCTATTGCGAACTGCACAAGGGCAGGATCTAGGTTGTACGCTCCTTATGAGGATCTAATGGCCGAAGATCTGTCCCCGTCTCCTAGCACCCGCAGATGGGACCATCTACTTGCAGGACAACAAGCTCAGGTCTCCCACGGATTCTACATTATGGTGAGTTGTATCATTATTTGTGGGGAACACTCCCGTGTGAGACCCCTAAAAGGCGTGAGTCTCACTATACGGTGAGTTTGATCCCAAACACAGTTTCCTACTGGAGGCAGTCGAGCTATCCGGAAATATAGGAACTGAAAGATGAATGATCAGTTTCTAATATCAACCACAATATCGTTTGGGCCTAAAATTATGCGTTGCTGCTAGACCGAGTAACCCCCTACCAGCAACTGGTTCCTGCTATGACCTTTCTATGACTTTAAGTTTTAACCTTTACTTACCTAACTGCCTTGTACCATAGATAATGGTTTAACTGTTGATATCTGCAAAGAAAAATGCCACCATAAGGGATGGCTTGGATTCCTGACTTAGAGATTCCTGGATAATGTTTTGATATAAACAAGTCTCGTGGATGATGTTTAGATATAAACAAGCTTTGTGATTATAGAAAATTTTGTTACTTTTTACAACCATTGATCGAATATCTGACTTCTCTATTGTATAGGCCATGTGAGGCATACATTTACATTCCTCTTACTATGACGTCGATCAAAGCCAAGAAAGTGTATTTATTCCTAGCATTTGAAAAATAAAATTTGCTGTTTAGGCACAGCCTATCAGCCCTCCAGACGCCTCGCTTTCTCTTTCTCTGTCTTTATTATTTTCTCAGGTATTGGGACCCTCTTGCAGGTCGAGAGACCCCCGGGCAGACGTGCCTACCCGTCCGGACGGTCCACGACAATTATTTCGTTATATATTAAAATGTAATGATCATAGAAATAAAATGCACTGCAAATGTAATGCGCTTGAGTCATTCTGGAACCATCCCCCACCAACCCTGGTATGTGGAAAAATTGTCTTCCACAAAACCAGTCCCTGGTGTCAAAAAGGCTGGAGACCACAGCTGTAACAACGCTGGGAATTAGGTGCCATTAGGATCTCCCTTTTCTAGATGGAGAAGCGTTCAATAACTTGCCTCAGGCCCGCATCATGAAACGGCAGAGCTGGGATCCCACCTGAAGAGCGCATGCTCTCTGCCCGCTCCCCACCTGCTGTCACAGCTTCCCGTGCTCCTCAGGTGAGATCAGAGCTTGCTGCTAAGGCCACACGATCTGGCTCCTGTCCACCTCCCACCACCTTGCTCCACACCACAGGCTTCATGGCTGCTCCTCCACCAGGAATTCTCCTTCTCAGGAGCTCCCAGGAACGTATTCTGTCACTATACCCGGCTCTAGGCTTGAAGGTCACCTCCTCAGAAGGGCTTCCCTCACCACCTTTCTAAAAGAGTCCCCATTTTATTCTCAGCCCCTTTCCTGCTGTAATTTTATTTGTAGGTCGTTATCACTTCTTGACCTTACACTAGAAGGTGCCTTGTTTGAATGTTTATGATCTTTTTCTCTAGAAGTTCTGCTCCACAAAAACAGGGACTTTGTCCTCAGTGCCTAGAACAGAGCCTGGCCCAGCACGGGAGCTCCGTAATGAATGAACATCCCCTAAGACAGCGCACTAGGCTGCTGGGCCTGTTCCTCGGGGCTGCTAGGCGCATCTGCTCCCCCGCCAGGATGGTGTTCTCTCTCTGGGTCAGCGGGGCAGCAGTCCTTCCTGCCGAGGCCCCTGGCAGGACAGAAGGTGAAGTAATAGCTTCTCTCTTCTCTCCCCACCCGTTGCTATTCTTCCACCACCCTGGGCTCCCTTCTGTCTACCCCTCCAGCCTCAGGGCGTTCATCTTTCCAGCCACCTGGAAATGGTGGGCACATCTGTCCACCTCAGGGTGATAGAGAGTTGAAGAGTGGCCTCTCCCCAGCGTATTCACATTTTAAAAGAGGCCAACCAGGACAATATTGAACCCCGACGTATGACTGCGCGGCTAGGTAGCTCCTTGCAGCACCACATTTGAGGTTGGAGGGAGATACTGCCCTTTACTCTCCCAGGCACCGGGAGACAGAGCACCTCACAGGTAAGGGCACTGAGGGAGAGGGACAGGGGTCCAGGCCCACCCTGCAGGTCAGAGACTGGCACCTGGCAGACCCCAACCTTCAGATGCCACAGCTGTTGCCGTCATACTCCACTCAGCTCTTCCCTTCCCTTCCTGCCACCCGGGCCTGGCTTTGTTCCCTAAAAAATCCCCAGCCTCCTTCAGGTTCATTCTGCCTCCATGGAATCCCCCCAGAGACTCTCCAGGGGACCCAGAACACAGGCTGTACCCTTACCCATTTCAATCCCGCAGATGGCCAGGGCAGCGATCACAGCACCTGCAGATGTCCCTGCGAAGCGGTGGGCCGTTTCCAGCATCCGGGGGGCCAGGTCCCGCAGGGCATCCACAGCCCCGGCCTGGTAGAAGGAGAGGAATCCACTGCCGGAGAAGGAGATGGAGTGGGGGGTGTCCGGGTCCCCCTTGAACACCTGTTCTTCCATCTCCTCGGCCTCTGGCTTTCCACGGAAGGAGGAACCACCCTTCAGCACTTGCCTGCCCAAGCCTGGGCTGCCGCTCCCTGCAGGAACTCCCTGCCCAGCTTCCCTGCCAGCCAGGAGCCTGGAATGTGGCTGTCCCTACCCGGTCTGCTGGAGCAACTACAGGCTGCTCAGGCAGCTGCCTCGGCCTGTTAAGCTCTGCCAGGAGGCATCCCCAAAAGTTGGAAAGGGGCCCCAGGACAAGATGCAGAAGGCCTCCCTGGTGTGTGAGCAGGGTCCTGATCCTGTGAACCCCTCGTCGGCTTCATTTCTTGGCTACATTCATCTCGGGCACGGGCTCCTCAGCCCTCTGCCCATCTGTGGTACACAGAGGTGTGTTCACTGCTCCCGACACAGGGCCATGCCCAAGGAGGCGGGTTCTGCCCAGCCCTCAGCTGCAACATTCAGTTGCAAAACCTCTGTGATGGTTATCGGGCACCTCCCTCCCCGACATGCTGCTGCAGCCGTGAAGGGCTTCCAAGCCCGCCTCCCTCCAGAAGGATGATGCCCAAGCTGTCTCTTTTGGACAGGTCCCCCAAAAGAGATGCCCCTTCTGGGCTCCTTCAGGCGGTGTGGTATGTGTGATGTGTTACACAAGCATTTTTATTTGTTCTTCTTACAGAAGCACCCCTTTGTTTATTCACTTGTTTATTTACATGTTAGCATCGGCCCTGGGTAAAATTGTCGGAGATGTTTGACTTTGGGGGCTCCACCCACCACGGCTTCTGCACCTCTCACTGTCTCTTCTCCTGGGCCCTTCCCTGACTCCGTGACCTTGGTCAGTGCCTTCTCACCAAGCCCCAAGCCCTCATGCTGTCTTCTAAGTGTTCAGGAAGAAATCAACCTGAAATCTAGATCTTTGTAAGTGTGTGAGGCTTCGTGTTGTAGGTTTTACTTCCCGCTCAGAAATGAGAAGTTTGAAAAAAGGCTGGGCGCGGTGGCTCAAGCCTGTAATCCCAGCACTTTGGGAGGCCGAGGCGGGTGGATCACAAGGTCAAGAGATCGAGACCATCCTGGTCAACAAGGTGAAACCCCGTCTCTTCTAAAAATACAAAAAATTAGCTGGGCATGGTGGTGTGTGCCTGTAATCCCAACTACTCAGGAGGCTGAGAATTCAGGAGGAGAATTGCCTGAACCCAGGAGGCGGAGGTTGCGGTGAGCCGAGATCGCGCCATTGCACTCCAGCCTGGGTAACAAGAGCGAAACTCTGTCTCAAAAAAAAAAAAAAAAAAAAAAAGAAAAAGAAAAAGAAATGAGAAGTTTGAGATAGCAGTGTTTAACCCCAAGGATGGGCAGCTGGGGAGGTCACCTGTGGGGACGTTGGGGTCAGGGCAGAGAAACGTTTTGGTGAGGGAGGTGGACCAGGGTTAGCTCCAGGGGCTGTGGTTCCACCCCCTGAGGAGCCACATAATGTGGTCCTAATGAGGAGGAGAAGTGGTCCTCACACCCAAAAAATGTCCCCTCATGGAGATATCACAAAGAAGGCAAGATTGCCTCTCCCCGCTCCCCTCAGCGACTGCACAGCAACAGAAGCAGAATCAGAATCAAGACGCCAAGGCCTCCATCAAGTGCCAGTCCAGCTCCAGCCTCTCTGTCAGGATGAGATATCAGTGGCGTCCCCGGCCCTGGGGAGCTCACACCATTCTGGTGGACTCACTGATCTACATGAGAATTCCACAAGGGAGGGCAAGGCCAGGCTTCAATTAGGAGGGAGTTTTCTAGGCTGGGCACGGTGGCTCACGCCTGTAATCCCAGCACTTTTGGAGGCCAAGGCAGGTAGATCATGAGGTCAAGAGTTCAAGATCAGCCTGGCCAAGATGGTGAAACCCCATCTCTACTAAAAATACAAAAATTAGCCGGATGTGATAGTACACGCCTGTAATCCCAGCTAATCAGAAGGCTGAGGCAGAAGAATGGCTTGAATCTGGGATGTGGAGGTTGCAGTGAGCCAATATCTTGCCACGGCACTCCAACCTGGGTGACAGAGCAAGACTCCGTCTCAAAACAAAAAAAAAAGGAGGGAGTTTTCTGTCTTGGCTAGGTAATTCCAGGCATATAATTGCCTCAGGTTGAAAAGAGACCTTTGGATTAGACGTGTAACAGATAAAGTTTGTGTGTGTGTGTGTGTGTGTGTGTGTGTGTATGTGTGCACGCACGCATGTATGCACGTGTGCGTGTGTGTGCAGAGATCTGAGGCATTCTGCTGGGGTGGGGGTGGGTGTGTCAGGGTGGAGTCTAGTCAGCTTTTGGACAGCAGAGACCCTGTCCCCTTCTTGGGAGGTCAGGTCAACTCCAGTGAGTACTTGCGTGCCCAGCGCTGTGCTGTGTTGGGGCCCTGGGGACAGGAGTACATAGAAGCTCCATCCTCAATTCAGACATTTGCAGGCTTCTTGGGAACGAGACAGGCAAATGTGAAATAAGCAGAGAACCATATAAGGCAATCTATAATTAAGGACTAAACGGTGCGGGGCTGAGATTCCTGCCAGGAAAGTTAAGAGGCGGGGCTGAGCAGTGTGGGCTGGAACATCTGAGGAGCTGTGCCGGGGAGCTGTGGGCTATGGGGCTGGAGGCAGCGGGGAGGAGTAGGCAGGGCACTGGGACCAGGCGCAGCAGGAGCCCCTTACACAGGAGGAGAGGGATGTCTTGGGGCCCGTTTCAGAGGACCACGGGCTTTGGATGAGAGGCCTTCCAAGTCATGACGTTGGATCCCAGCTCTGCTGTTTACAGACAATGTGGCCTTTGCATGATCTCTCTGGATCTCAGTTTTCCTCATCTGTGAAAGGGACAATACTGTCATTCCTGTGCTGTCCAGTAGGTGTAAGGCTAAAGGTAATGGCCCTAGGATGCCTGGCACAGGGCAGGCCTGTGGTTACCAGAGGGTAGTCAGAGTCAAGGCTTCTGGAACAGATGGACCCCAGAGTCAAGGTAGACTAGAGAGGCGGGGTCCAAAGGGGAAGGCTTGATCCACACGTGGCGTGCAGAGGAGCTTGGAGGGGTCTCAGGCGGCAGAGCCTTGGCAGGAAGATGTGACTGAGGCTGGAGGCTGAGGAAGGAGGGTGGCAGCCCATTCTCCAAGGATGGTGGCGGCCAGGCCAGGGCGGCAGCTGCAGGAAGACAAGTGAATGAAGTTGTTGCTGCAGAAGATTCTCGGGGGCAGGGACTGGTTGGATGGGCAGGGTGAGTCACAGCAGAGGCCTCGCTTCTAGCCTGCGGGTAGGGAGGAGTGGGGCTGTCTTCAGCACAGTTGGGGAAACTGGGACAGACCTGGGGAAGCTGGGTGGAGGATGATTTTACTTTACAATGCATCTGAGATGACAGCAAGACCTTGGCACTATCCACAGAGGGGGGGGGGGTGGCAGGGATGGCACCAGAAGCAAGCACAGAGACCCCTGCCACTGAGGCAGCAGAGAAGGGCAAGCAGGTGGAGGAGGGTATGCGGACATGCTGGAGGGAGGAGAGCAATGGTCAAGTTTCTTTTTCCGGGTCATCCCAGTGAAACAGAAAGCAAGGCCACCTGCCGTATGTGGGCTGCAGGCACCTGGGGTTGTTGGGGACCCACCACCCCTTCAGAGAGAGAGCATCCTGACGTGGCCTCCGTTGTCCCCACCTCCTCGGACCTGGCTGACTCGCATGAACGCACGTATGTTTCTGTTCCCTGTGGCCGTGGAGACTGCAGTGCCGCACAGCCTCTTCCATGCAAACACGCCAGCCAGAATCCGTGACTGTGCCCGGGAAAGCCGTGGAGGAGCTGCTAACCTGGCCCGCGGTGGCTGGGCCTGGTAGACTGGTCTCCACAGCTGACAAGGGCTGGTGAGTAGCAGGTCTCAGCTTGTCCTCTGCTAGCTGCTAAACGCTTGAGATGCTTCCTCTCATCGGCCCTTGTTCCTGACCTTCTACTCATGTCCTAAGAACGTCAAGTAAATGACATCGAGGAAGACTCGATTTCCAGCACTTGCTTTTTAGTCATCTCATGATCTTTGCAGGTGTTTTTAACTACATTAACACTGCTCAGTATGACTCATCAGCCCCTGAGGAAATCATGGGCGAGAAACAGATTGCTTACCACATGCCCTTCCAACAAAACAACCCAAAACGAATTTCTATAGGAACCGGGACTCCCTGTAAGTTTAAGACATATGAAGCCGCCTAGGATGGATACTGGGGGAAAAGACGCACATTGATTCCAGATTGGCTTTGCCTCATGGGGTATCAACCTCTGCTTACATCCCGAAGATGTTGATTTAGTGAAGAACTCGGTGGTTTCTTGATTCGGTAGAGTAGGAAGGTCACAACATCACCCATGAATATTGTGCCAAAGCAATGTAACTGGAATCTAATTGAGGCCTAACCTCCGGCTGACGGTAAACACGAAGTACAAACAATCAGACAAATGCAGCCTGTGGGAGGCTGGCAGAGGCCATCGCTGGCACCAGCAGCCATCTCCAGCCCACTTGCTCCTTGCCCACCTCCAGGTAAAGCAGCCGAAAAGCCTGGTCCTTGGTTTCAGCTAAGGGTGAATCATGAGTTCATCAGGCCCCATTCCCCTGGATAATGAGAAGTAACAGGGACTCTGCTGGGTGGCTTCTTAGATTTTCCTCCTTGATAAAAGCAAAAAGGCACCTGGGGAGCCCCTTGTAGCCCATCTCCTTTTCTTCCTGCCAGAGACACTGTCCTGGGAGCACGTGGTGTGTGGACCTATGACAGTTGTTTTTCATCTATCAGGGGAAATGGGGCAGCCACACTAGGTGTCTTAGTTATCCATGGCTTCGTGACAATTTACCCTGAAACACGGCACTTTTTTTTTTTATTATTGTACTTTAGATTCTGGGGTACACGTGCAGATCATGGAAGACTGCTGCATAGGTACATTCATCCATCCCCCATCAACTATACCTGACATTTCTCCCCACATTATCCTTCCCTCACCCGCCCTCCCACCAACCTTCCCGTAGTACCCCCCACCCAACAACAGGGCACTTTCAAACAATAAGAACATATTATCTCACACCATTTTTGAGGGCCAGGAAACTGCAAATGGCTTAGCAGGTGCTTCTGGCTCTGAATCTCTCAAGGTTGCATTCAGGCTGACAGCCAGGGATGCAGTCATCTCAAGGCTCACTGGAGCTAAAGAACCCACTTCCAAGCTACCCTTCTGGTTGCCAGTGGGTATCAGTTCTCGGTTAATGTTGACAAAAGCTTGTGTGCCTCATGATGTGGGCCTCTCCACTGTGTGGCTCACAACTTGCAGACGACTTTCTTCAGCAAGAGGTGAAGAGAGTGAGAGTAAGAACGAGGGAAGGAGAGCATGTGAGCCCCAGACAGAAGCTGCA